TTGAGGACAGGCAAGTCTTCACTTTTATTTAAGACAGAATAGCATCTTCTTACAGTCCCAAAGATAGCTGATTGAAAAGCATTCTCACAGCAGCGATTTAAGTTAACTTTTTGCCTGTGCCCTACAAGAGCCTAGAAGAGCTCACACAGTCACTTACAGCAGTTCCTGGTGTCCTGTTGCAGTCTGAGCTTCGCATACCAAGAAAGAAGGGGTCTGATCGAGCCTGTAAGGACAGAGCTGAGACTCTTCTACAAAGGAAGGGACAGAGTGAAAAGGCAAAGCCGTGAGAAAATCCCTTCACAGTGAGGCTGCCTACTCCTGCTGCCTCCAGGAACAGGCAAGGAGCCCAGTAGCACTGCTGGAGTCACCACAGAAGATTTGTCCATTCCCACCACCCCACTGATGGCCATCTGCCAGAATCTGTCCTCCAGACAAAAGTCTCCAGTGCTCTTTCCCTGCAACACCAGGCTGCAAAACAGTGTGGGCAGTACCCGCAGGCTCCCCCACTGATGTCCTTAACCCACAGGCAGGAGCTGCCCTGTGCTAGTGTGTGTGGCATGCACGTGTGCTCCAGGGCAACCAGCTCTGGCTATGGCAATGAACTGCTTTGCCAGCATAAATAATTAACCTGGTAAAAAAAAATCCACTGGGAGCTCAGTTAGCACATTCAGATACTGTGTCTTTGGGAAGATAAGCTTAAAATGGGAGCAAATACTTCAAAGGCCCACCTACACCCACTGAACTACACTTTGGATTTATGCCTGATAGGTAAAACAAGATTTTTGCATCAGGTTTTTTGAATTTATTCTAGTTGATGGGATGAAAGCCTCTAATAGCTACACCCATTGGTACTATATATACGCAACCAATTCGATCAAAATTAATCTTGTATTAGAGCTATTGCTAGGCTCTTGGAAGATGTTATACTGCAGCTGTAAAAATTGCTATTTGCTCTTAAATTGGACCATCAGATTAGTGTTTTATAAGTAACAATTCCTATGCCTTGCAATGTTACATCCCAAATCCTGTGGCAATTTACTATCAAATAACAATAGGATTACTTCTTTCTGGCAACTATGACTAGCAAGTTCCATTCAAATTATTTCTAAAAAGTACTACCCCTAAAATTACTTTTCTGAGCACTTTAAAAAAAAAGAAATATGTCCCTTTTGACCAAAAACCTTAGGCAAAATCAATAGTCTCGGCTTCTATCCAGAAATTAAAGATGAAATATTTAATGGCTAAAAAACAGCTTAAAAAGCAGCCTGGTCCCAGTGGCTCTAATGGCAAATTCTCATCTCTTTTGGTTTTGTATTTCTACAATAAATTTATGAAACCTGTGTTGTTAAACCAGAATTTGCCCCCTATAGGAAAAGAGCATACATTTTTAACTTTTTCTTGTGAAAAACAATCTAGGTCAGAATTCTTTGCAATGGCACCTTCTGTAGCACTGTACTTATTAAGTGACAGGCATAATGTGTAGCTATAAGGAGTCTAAACAAACAAATGTGATATAGGTGGATGAAGAGGAATTGGAAATATGGGGAAGAATTCAGTGTGACAAAACCCACACTTCTTTAGTTCTAATACCTTCTCCTCTCTGCAGCGTCCCAAATAATCCTTATCAAAATATTTTATTCTCAAACTATGTTGTCTCTTATCTTTTTATGCCATATTTTTGTATTTGGTCTTAATCTTCTTCTATTTAGCTTGTACCAGCCTCTGGCTTTTTCACGTTTAAGGATTTTCTTTCTGCAAAAATTTCCCATTAGGAATAGGAAAATACTGAAGTATTTCTGTGGTTAAAGAAGCACACAGGAGCTAATTTTATATGTGAGATGGGAGGGAAGATATGGATGTTTTTGCATGAATTCATTTTCCTAAAAATTAAAGACAAGTCATATAATTTTTTCTTATAATGATATTTTCCATAGGATGAAGGCAAGCTGGGGGCAGTGAAGTGAAGTTACACTGATTTACAATAATGCAACACATCAGATTCCAGCCTGCTGTCTCAGGAGCGTGCTTCTAACTCCCATAAACAGCTCTGGAGCTCTTTGGAGGAAACAGTTACTCTATAATTTCACCACCAACTAGAAAGTCAACATCAGCTCTAGTGTTGCTAAATTATTCCCCCTCACAAAAGCAGCTGTAAATGAACACTATCATTACAGATCTCAAACACACCTTTTTTTAATCTTTTGTTACAAATTCTCATTTAATATTGCAGATGAATATTTATTCGTATTACCCTGAAACACCATAGAATGTGCACTCAGTCACAAATTCTTCATCAGACAATCAAGATTTCATATTTTCTGTTGCCACATGAACTTCTTCTGGTAGAAGAGCTCTGTATTTCAGAGCAGGGAGTGGGATAAATAAATATAAGAATAAAAAAACCTTTTCTTTAGCAATTATATATTTGCTCTGACTGTGTCATGCTATACAAAAAAAGGTGGATTCGGAGTATGGCTCCGCTGCCACAAAGATGCAATTGTAGAGCATGTAGGGAAAGCCAGGCTATGTTCACCCTGGCTGAACATTTAACACAGAAAATCAAACCCAGACTTTAGTTTGGGGTGTGTAGGCTCAGCAGGGACCTCAGATTCAGTTTGGGAGCTCATACTGAAGCCCAAGCCACTGGCAGGCCATTACTGCCATTACTTTTGTTAGATAAGTAAGAAAACAGAATGTGTCCTAGTGCTTTAATCACATTTATATTTCAGATGGCAATTATTGTACAGAATCATCTGCAAAAGCTGTTCAAAATATTTACAGTGAGTGATGAGTTTTCAGGCTTGTGTTTCCAGGAACTTGGCCTTAGGTTTACTGATTTCATAGTTACAGAGACCTCCTCCCACTTAGCCACCCTCACACCACACTGCCTAGGTTTTCTAAATCCAGATAGCAAATGAAGACACTGAGGTCAGGCATAGCTGAGAGAGAGAAAATAAATCTGCTCTAATGGATGCAGCCTGATATTTATTATTTTTCCTCTTGTCAAACACCCAAACAAACCCACACAGGATGTTTGCTTCCAACCAATGCAGACTGCAGTGTTTAATAAGCTGAAAGCTCCACAGATTGAGCCCTGCTGAGTTTGCACTGCTGCAGTTAAAACCCAAGTTTTAAAGGAGACAGAAATGGCCATAGGATATCTGATTATGTCCTGGATCAAAGTGAAATGGTGAACACCTGAGTTTAGGTGATAATATCACCAGATGTTCTTAAGCGCTATGAAAACTGCTGTTGCTGTTCTAGGGTCTCTTTGAACTGCTGAAGTGTTGCACTCCTGGAGAGAAGCACAAATGTACAGCTAACGTAGGCGTAAGCATTGAACACACTCGAGACAGTGTGTTATATCTTAAGACTTCTACGGTTTCTTCTTAAAACATATGTCTCTCGGCAAACTCAGTTAACAGTTACCTTGGTTTTCCTTTTTGTATGAAAAATCATAGAATCATAGAATAGTTAGGGTTGGAAAGGACCTTAAGATCATCTAGTTCCAACCCCCCTGCCGTGGGCAGGGACACCTCACACTAAACCATCTCACCCAAGGCTTCGTCCAACCTGGCCTTGAACACTGCCAGGGATGGAGCATTCACAGCCTCCCTGGGCAACCCATTCCAGTGCCTCACCACCCTAACAGGAAAGAATTTCTTCCTTACATCCAATCTAAACTTCCCCAGTTTAAGTTTTAACCCTTTACCCCTTGTCCTGTCACTACAGTCCCTAACGAAGAGTCCCTCTCCAGCATCCCTACAGGCCCCCTTCAGATACTGGAAGGCTGCTATGAGGTCTCCATGCAGCCTTCTCTTTTCCAGGCTGAACAGCCCCAGTGAATATAAAAGTTACAGAAATAGTGACACTGCATGAATAGCCTGTCTTAATAAACCAATCTTAATCTTGTCAAATGTGTTTTGTAGGACTTAATATCTCTTTAAATTTAATAACACGGTTATTTGTATTGATCTGTTCTTAAAACGTAGTCACATGCCAGTTCAGGGCAGGAGGGCAACCCCAGTCCCTCATGAATACAGTGAAATCTTGCACAACGACCTAGTAGGGAAACGACAAAATGAGTCAACCCCATGTCATTGCTCTTCCTGAAGCCAGCCCTTGGTGGTAAACCTACCTCTAGGAATCCTTCTCTTTGCTCACTGATGACCTTGCTCTCTACTCCCTACAAAATGGCCTCACATTTCTTTGTGTTGCTCTCTGCAGTCCTGGGTGCATTGTTGCCCTGTTGCTCCCAAATGCACATTGGGCTGAAGCCATGAGTGTAAAGGCTGTTGCTTTAGGAAAGCTTTCTGTAAGCCATCCTTTCCAAGAAGACTCACAAAGTCTGTCTCAGAAGAGGCATGCTGCTTTGTTTATTTGTTTTGACTTCTCCTGGCTTGGTTCCTCCGAGAACTGGTTTATAGGCTCTTAGCTCTTGGGAATCCAGCTGTCTCCTGATTACAACGTTGGCTGTCCTCCTAATTTTCTGACGTACTGTTTATCCTCTCTCTGCTGCTTTGGACAGCATTACCCACTCCCTAGTTTGTTTTGCATAGAGGTTCAGTACACAGAAAGAGATATTCCCATCTGGGCAATGAAAGAGCTGCACTGGGAACTTCTGCCCCCAGCACCTAAATGTCACAGCTTACGGCTGTTGTACTTGCTATATGCATTTTAACAATCATTTATTATACTTTGTATTTCAAATAGCCTTGACTTGAGAAAAGCTTTTAAGCCCAGCCAAGGGTTGGAAAGGGTCACTCACAAAGCGCTGAATACTGAGGAGTCCCTAGATTTCAGCCCTGGGGTATAACAGGACTGAATGATCTTTCAATGAAAGGTAGCTCAAGAATTTGAGGATAATTCCCATCTATGTATGTTACAATTTTTAACACATACCCTCATGGAAGGTTGATGTGTCACTATGGCACTGCATGATGCCAGCTATTACTAGATTTTCTTTAGTGAAATTACTGTTTTTATTGATGTGAGGTTAGCACAATATGGAAAACTAGGTAAATGATCACTGATGTTCTGGTCAGCACTGTGATTTCTTTTGATAAAAGTCTGTTTTGATTAATTGATGCCAGCAACAAACTATTCATTATTTCAGGATTTGTCTTCCAGTGCTTTGCATTTTGAGCACTCATAGCTAACTGCGCCAACTACATATCAGTTGTGTCCTGTCATTTCACACTCACTTTGCATAAAAGTCAGCAGCTAGACAGTGGGATGGCAGGAAAGAACAGCCCCTTTGAAAACTGTTGCCCTGACACCACCAGGCTGAAGGTCCTTGGTGAATGAAGCTCACACCGGCCATTGGGGCAGGGGGAGAGGTGGGATGGCCCCTTCTGCAGCTTCATCCTTCCTATACCTGCAGGACCAGCAGCACTAGAGGCAGCAGAGCGACTCCCCTCCCCGAATTCCTGGAGAACCTTCTCTCCTCAAAGGGCTTTTAACCAAAGCCCATTCAAAGGCAGTGAGCATCCCACAAAGGTCATAGCAAGACAGAATACCAGCACTCCACATGGCAGCAGTTTCTGGTTTAGGCTATAAAGGCTTAAGCCATAAGAAGACAACAATATGCTATGACAAATGCCTTCCTCCAGAGCAAGACACGGCGGTGCACAGACCCAGGTTACATGGACTGTCATGTGTCAAATGCTGCTTAGAAAATCTGCCAGGAGAGGCTGTCTTGCTGGGAGCCGCTGCAGGGTGGAATAAAAGCGTGTGTACGCTGGGAAGTTAAAAACAAGTCCAAGCCTAATGACTGTTCTAGTGGTGACCTGGAGCCCACATAAAAGCAGGAAAAATGTGCTGAATGTCCTCGCTGGTTGATTATCACCCATTGTCTAACATAAAGTGAGTCAAAAAGATTGGTAAACCCTGCTGCGGTCTCAGAGACCAAATCAGCCAAACAAATTAATTCCACTGCTTGTTGTTAACATGTCCCAGAACTGTGAAACAAAAGGTAAAAAGCAATATGCTGCTCCCCTCTCTAATTTTAAACACAGTTCTGCAGACATGATGTTCCTTACCACAGATTCGTTACAAAGCAGCAACAATAGAGAAGCAAAGCAAAATAAAACCTCCACATCTCCCTGGGGACGTGCAGTCCCTTTCTTACCCTTTTATTTTTTTCCTTTTTGGCTTTTGTGTAGACAACTGGCACTGGAGAGTAAGCAGACACAACAGAACTATGGGCTATTACCAAGCCATGGTTAAAAGAAGAAAGGCTGATGTGAGATTGCACTGTGCCCCAGTTTACTGTGCAAGAGAGGGGAAGAATGACAGTGGAGGTGGGAAGAATTACCGTTGCTTTCATAAAAGATGGACAATTGCTTCTCAGAATTATGGAAAGATCCAGCTTAAATATAGTAATTAGCACAGAATGGAAATGAAAGTTTCTTTCACAACAAATAGCAATTACCAAAGAGGCCTGACTTGGAAGCTAATGTGAGTTTGTAATGAATAAAGAGCTATGTAGCGGATGTACAGACAGCAATTTAATCAGCCCAAGGATATAAGGGGCCATGGTCAGCTCCAGTCAGCAGGGTGGAATATAAAGCACATACATTAAAATATCAATAAAGGAAACAATGAAGCCATTCAAAATATCAGTTAAGAGTTAGTCACTGTGTATTTCTCCAGACTGCATGGCACTGTCGAATCAAAACTTATTCATTCCACTCACCCAGGAAGTCCAACGAAAAGAAATGCATTGCCCATATACTGGAAATACAGGGAGGCCTGAAGTCCTCCCAAAGGATGATAAGTCACCCAAAATTGCCCAGACCTCCAGGGACACAGCGTGGTGGGGGAGCCATGTTCAGCGCAGATTCTGTACCGGCAACAGAAAAGAGCAAAAAGAAAGAAAAGCCATTCCACTTGAGAAACATTAGAAATGCAGGTATTTCTTAGGAGAGCAAAGAAAATTTGGCAGTAAGGGGGGGCCAGGAGACAGGCAAGAAGGAGGCAAGGGTTTGCAGAAAGGGAGGAGAGGGATTAATCTTCAGGGGAAGAGAAGAATAATGAGGAAAGCAGCAAAAAACGGAGTCCCACAGAGGGGGAAGGGGGAGGAGGGCGGTGCCCTCAAATGTTCCAAAATTCTGACAGTATGAATTAGTCTTGACCTGAGATTTTTGGACTTGGTCCATCTGTCTCTTAATACCTACCAGCTATATATCGTCTTCAAACACCTGCAGAAACTTTAGTCCTAACACCAGCTTTCTCAGGTACATTTGTAATGTTATTGTCTTCCCCTATAAATAGGACAGCAGAAAGATGAGAAATGAGACCAGACAGAAAGTCTTAAACTGTCTAAGCAAGGTGTCAAGGGGTGTTTTAAATGGTCCTGCACCTTTTCCCCAATGTGAACTCCTCCAGGCAAGCCATAATTTCTCCTCTGCATTTTCAGCATAAACTAACATATTGACCAAAATTGCAATTAATAGCTGAGGTGGAGAGATCAGTATTTATAATACAAAGGTAAAGAGAAAATTGAATGAAGAAGTATCAATCTGGCTGAAGGGAAGTATCAAAGAGGGAGAAGGGAATGCCAATGCAGTGCGAGGGGTGTGTGACATGCGATTATTACAGGCTGGATCATACACAAGAAGAGTGGGAGTTTGGAGCCATTCCTCAACTGCAAAGTAACATCTCTGTGGTTCGAGACCCATTGCAGTATTTTTTATGTGGGAGCTGCTGATGAGGAAGACCAACTTCCCAGCTTGCAGCTGAGACGTGGGCAGCAGCAGAACTCACAATTTTCACCCAAGTGCTTTTAACATCTCATTGCTTTCATTGAGAGTTGATTTCATTTTCTTTTCATGCCACCAGCTGCTCCACACACAAGAACAGTCGGCTGTGAACTTCAAAGTTTAACACTGATTTTCACTGCAGTTCCATGCCAGTGTTCCTGCAGGAGAAGATGGAGAAAGGAAAGTATCTTGTTAGGGAAGTATTTATCTTCTGTCTGTCTTGGAAAGGTCCTCTTCAGATACATTTTTCTGCATACATCATAACAGGCACAATCCATCAGACCACAGGTCCACCTAGTCAACTTCCCTGTTTCCAAAGCAGCTAATGGCCAAGTGATGTAGTTGTATAATGATGTGTCAAGTGGTATCCTTCCCCAGAATATTCCCCTCATGTAATTTTCAGTATAGAGTCTTTTTCAGTATTCTTGTATTTAATAGCCCTCCATGGATTTTGCTCCCAATTATTTGTGCAGTAACACTTTGAGCCAACGTAACCAGCTATAACGCCGTGCAGCTCACAGTCCCATATCTGAACTGCACCTTCTGTGAAGAACTGTATCCTTCTGCAGTGAGCTCCAGGAATGGCTGTCTCATTTGCCCCTTCTTAGCTCTTCTATTGGAAGAGTCTGCAAACAGCCATTCCCTTCCTGTTCACCCTCTCCTTGTCACTAGAGCATCTCTCCCATACCCTGCTATTGTCATTTCTTTCTTGACCTGGAGAATCATTGCTCATACAGAAACTATTCCATACATCTGATTATCCTCATTGTCCTTCTTGCTATTGCTTCTCTGTCAGATGCATCCCCTCCAAACTGAGAGGGCCAGATGTGAATACACATTTAGGATGCAGGCACAGCATGAGTTTCTGCGATGGCGACATGTTGCTTTGTTTTGATCTTTATGCCTTTCCTAATAATCCCTAATTTTCAATGTGTTAGTGTGATCAATAACAAGAACTGTGATGATGTTTTCATGCAACAAACTGTTAGAAACCTAAAAGCTCGTTCTTGAGGTAGCAATCACCTTAAAGGCCACATGAAATTAGGATTTTTTTTTCCCATGTACAGCATTTCATGTTTCCCTACAATGTATTTCACTGACCACTTTGTCATCCCATCATTCGCTCTTCTAATATCCTTCTGCAGTTCTCACAATCAGTCTTGCATTCACTGCTCTGAGCAACTTGGTATGATCAGGGAATATTGTCACCTCATTTTCTCTTGTTTTGGATAATTTAGGAACACACTGAACAGCACGAGCACCCCGCACAAATCCCCACAGGATTCCACTCATGACTTTCTTCCACTGTGAAAGCTGACCATTAATATGTGTCTTCTGTTTCCTTTTAATTATCTGTGCACAGACCTTTCTCCTTACCCACGGCTGTTCAGTGCTGCAACAGGTGATGGTCAGGGACCTTGCAAAAGCAACCTTAGAGAGAGTTATCAATTAACAGAATCACCCTTGTGTATGTGCTTGTAACGGGAAGTATGTAAGTAGATATGGTTTTTTAGTCTTCTTGGATGTGAAGCCACATCCCAAGGCAGTGAAGTTTCTAGCAGTGATTCAACAAATTTCAACAGTGAAGTTCTCCCTGTCCTCGTGTGTGCAGCTTTACAGCTAAATAAATTCTATAACTGCAGAACGAATCCCTGATCTTCAGAACTATTTATGCTGGTCTGGGCGCTTCCAAAGAGCTGCTTTCATAAGAAATGCAAGAATAAACTGTGAAATAACTGGGAAAAGGTGCTGTAATCTGCAAATAAAACAAATTTTTATGCCAAAAAGTCGATATTTAGCATTTCAGTTTGAATTTAGCATTCCCATTTGGCAAAACATTGTATATTTGCAGTTATTTAAATATACACATCTGAATACATATATCACAGCCCTCTTACTGCATTGAGAGAGGTTCATTCTTATTTGAATTAACTGTTTTCTTGTACTAGTTCAGTAAAACCATTGTAAAGTCTCAGTTCATGTATTTTAATCTACTACCTCCTCTTATCCAACTTTGGGCAAATTGCAAGTAAAAGTAATACATCAGTTTTCTAAAGTACATAAAAAGCATATCTGAACTTGTGATTTGTGGTCCTAGCACTCTGAGGATTTTAAAGCCAGTAGCCAGTAAATTCTAGGGCCCAGATTCTTCCCGTTACTTACAGTGGAAAACAAGCTTTTCTGTTTCTTCCAATACCAACTGGCTGCCCCATTGTGAGTGAACCAGGCACTGACCTGAACTAGCTGAATAAACTAAAATGAAAAAATAATCCCTTTACTGTCAGAAATGACTGCTCCTGACAGTTTTTATTTGGCACCACAGTGAGACGGAAACCAGCCACCAGCTCAGCAGTCTGCTTTTTGTTTAAAAGGTTGGCATCAAAAATGTGCTACTTTATATTATCACCTGATAATCTAGTCTGGCACAGAGGAGTAATTCTTTAAAAACTATTCCTTAAACTTTATCTTTCCATTGATCCTTAAATTCTGTTTTAAAGAAAAAAGGTTAAGGAATCAGCTTCTGCAGTAGACATCAAATTACATCTACTGTGAAATCTCCAGTATCGCATGCTGAGTGGATAGATTTTGCAACTGTGTAGAGAACATTTCAGGTGTATGAAGAATTTTTGCAAAGTAAAATAGGTCCAAGGAGCTTAAAAAGCTGTTTACATTCATCCAACAAAAAACAGCCACCTCTGATGCCATGATAGCTCTGTGTCCCCAGGACTGCCATCTCTGACTACATAGCAAGATGTTCCTGCAGGGTTGGAAGCATCACAGCAAATGTGACTTGGTTGAACAAAGCATCTCCTCCCTTCCATGCAAACACCTTGGCAGCAAGTCTGACCAAGTGGCTGCCAGCACAGCATGTGTGGCTGAGGATCGGGGTGCACCACAGGAAGACCCATCAGATTCAACTTTGGAGGGCTCATGCATCAAAAGGACATTTGCTTCCACCACTTCTGCTGTTAAAGGCTCCCATTACATCCTGTGAAACTGGAATAAAACTACTGCAGTAAGAGGTAGCAGAAAGGTGCGTAAACTTGACAGAAAACACAGAAAAGTGCTTTTCACTGCTTATTTCAGGGGAGAGAACACTTAAAAATATTCTTGCTTTAAACAAGTCCCGAGCAAGACCAGCAGAGGTGATGACTGGACATGGCGCACTCTCAGGTAAGTTCAAAAGCATGCCGTCCCTTATAGTCCTCCACCATGGTATTTAAATATTTTATCTCTTTCCTGCACCCAGGATTATGTATTATGAAAAGGAAGGAAGGATCTGGAAGATTGTTTTCCTGTGTTCTTGTTAAGCTTCTCTCTCTCAAGCCTGATGCCCATATGGCCTGTTAATAATACACCACCATAATTTAGCACAATTTGCTTTCGCATAAATCCTAAAGTAAGCATGGTCCAGAATAATGCTCACTTAATGTGAAGTACATGGCCCAAAGGGAGCCAACAAGCAAGCCAAACTATGAATGTGTGAAGATGGAGGAAAAATATAAGCTACTCCAAGCACCTCAGAAGTTTTCATCATCATTATTATTATTCTGTTGAGCTTTCATTCTGACAGCTTAAATGAAAAAGGATTAGATCTTTATATTCCTCTGCAGCTCCTGTGTTTTCCAGTTAGGTGAAAGTCTTAATCAGAATGATAAAGGGGGCTATTTCTTAGAAAAAGTTTGTCATTTCATTCTAACAGAATTCAGGAGCGTGCTGCAAGACAACTGGTGATGGTTTGTTAGCATAAAGAAGTAAAAATAAATGGAAATAAAGAAAGAAAGAAGGAAAATGAAGGAGCTAAGGAGCTGGACAAAAAGCTTAGCTTTGTGTAGCAAAGCCAGGAGCAAACTAAGAGCACTTCATAGAAGGGAGTGTCACTAGGATATAGATACAGGGCTTACATGTTCCAGGTCAGCTGACGGGGACAGGTACAACTCCCTTGGTTAATGCATGGGGCACACAGCAGTGTGATGGCTGCTTGTTGGGTGACACAGGCAGAGGAAAGAGGATCGCTTTGGGCAACGCTCATGCGACAGTTGTAACCCTGGACACTGTCCCACATTTACCGTGCCTTTGGGCTTTGAGACACAGGCGTTATTTCTTCTTCTGGAAGCATAAGGAAATATAATGAGCCAAAAAAGTGTAAGAGACATTTGGACTAGAGAAAAACTGTGTCATCTCCACTGTGTCATAACTCTGATTAAACTTGCATTTTCATTAGTAACCACAGCACCTATCCACATAGGCTCTTCTTAAAGAGAGCAAACAGAAAATAAAGAACAGGTGAGCATAGTGTTTGGTCTATATATTTAATTTCACTGCACCTTCATAAACTCTGTCCTGCAAGGTGAGAAGAGAGACCTGGGACAGCATCTGGTAGAGGTTTATGATGACATACAGAAGAACCTGTAGTGTTCAAATGGTTATTTTTACTGCCAACATGTGGCCTGATCTGGGCTGATGGGCAGGAGAAGGGCAGTTCTCATGCAAGGGCAGGTTTCCTTAAGCAGCCTTGTGCTGCCTGTGCTGCCTGTTCTCCCCACCCAGCACAGCCACCCTCAGGATGCAGCCCTAGCTGGAATCCACACAGTTTAGCACGCCAAGGCTCTCAAAAGGCCTCTAGTTCTTCAAAAGAGAAAGCAGAGTTTTACTAAATGTGAAATTCAATTCATTTAATGTGTTTCCAGCGATTATTCACCAATAGTAACACATTTTATTTCTGCCCACAGCACCCAAGCTAACATCATGCTTAAGTATCCAGAGGAGGCAAAAATAATTATGCAACTTTGTGATATTTAATCAGTAATAATGAAAAAGCTCTATTTCTGTTACAGTTACAGAAAAACAAGACCTATTACTCACATAACATTTAACTCCCTTTCAATATGGCAGTACAGTTCTTCTGTCTCAAAGCATTAATAAAATGTAACTGCACTGCAGATGATGTTGAGAAAGCATATTTCCATAGAGTTAATAAAATAACTGAAGCTTTCTGATTGAGCATGAACAGGTAACTGAACTATTATTGCTACAATGAAATTAATGGCTTTCCAAAAACTCTTCTCAAAGTGCGCGTACCCTGAAAAATAGGCAAATAAATATGAAGTTGAGAAATCAGTTTCAGTATTTCTAATTAGTAATAGAAATCATTTTC